GACTGCTGCAACGTTGATGTGGAGCTACTATCAACAATGAAAGATCTCTCTTCATTCTGGAAACTGTAGAACCGCTCGATATAGTCGTCATAAAGCGCCATTGTTGCTTTCCTCTTGACAGTCCCTTTATCTGTCCGAACGAAGGGTTTGTCTGGTTGCGCGAAGATGACGTGGTCGCGTGTCAAGTTGACTGTGTGTCGGGCTGAGGACATGCTTGTCTCGATCTTGGCCCATATGCTGTCCATGAGTTCGTCGCTCTTGGTCAAAGCATCCTTCAGTTCAATGAGAAGGCCTGCCTGGCGCTTGTGGCTACCAACAACAAGGCAGCCATCGATCGCAGAGTGGGTGCCAACTAGTGCTTCGAACTCCAAAGGTAGGATCTTATATCCGTTGGACAGAACAATGAGATCGTCGTTGCGCCCTGTGAATGCCCAGAGGTTGGGCTTGGTGGGGTGTTGCTTGTAAAGATCTTTGAAGTTGATCGATGTCTTCTCCGGGAATGTGTGGAAGATGCCTTGGAACAAGGATGAATGTTCGTTGCGGTGAACCCAATGCTCATAGACACCAGGCTCTACTTCCTTGAACTCGAATCCGGAGTAGGGATGGAAGGCGAACCAGAACCAATCCTCCCTGTCAACAACGAGGTTGCCGATGAAGAGACCCTCCGTCGTTCCTGTCAAATTGAGCACTCTGATGACATCGTTGACTTTGCCAGCACTGATCGGGCTGACCGGGCCACCGGATGCGCAGATGAACTTGGATCGCTCGAGCTTGGCCAACACATCAGGTGTGTCTCCAAGCTCATCGACAAGTGATGGTACCATACTCCAAATGTCGATCTTCGCGCTATCGGCAAGGTTCTCGACCAGCGACATGTTGGGTATTACGTTTGTTGGCCCCATGACAACCTGTAGACCGAAGAATATGGGCATGAGAATGTTCATGATGATGCCAGCACCGTGACACATGGGAAAGGAAGAGTAGATCCGGTCTCCTTCCTTCCAGTCCGAAGTCCATGGTACCAGCCCCTCGTCGCCGTCGACAGGTGGAAGTAGGCGAATCGCATCCATCGTTCCGATCAAGCTGTGAGACCATGGAATAGGTTTCGGCACACCTGTCGAGCCCGATGTGTGAAGATAGCAGAAGGGATCTGAAGCCGAAGTTTCAAAGGTTTTGGTGTAGGGAAACGGCTTGGTGTCTTCCGCATCCAAGAGGTTGTCTAAGAGTGGTAGCTCCAACAACTTCATCGAACGCCTCTCCAGAAAGTCCTTTACCAGAGGTACTGTCGGCACTTCGCCTGCTTTCGCCCAAATGTCGCAGTCGGTTGCTTCGAGCACAGCCAGGGCGCCTTCGACACTGTTCTTGGGCGAAAGATTGAGGGCGGCGTAGCCCACCTTGACACACGCATATGTGAGTAGGACATGCCGGAGGTCGTGTGGCCCGATATAGCCTACTGGCCGCACGGATGTCGACTCGCCGATCTGTGTATGGAGCCACCAGGCTGTCTTGTCTACGGCTTTCGCAAACGCACGCGCTGATATGTCCCGGTATGCTAGACCTGCACCAGAAGGCTTTGCGATCGAGAAGACAACACGGTTGGGGTGATCTCTCGCGACTTGGTCCATAATTTGAGGTATGAGGCGGCGGCCATAGTCCGACTCTCCTCCAGTGGCGTCCGTATATGATGAATCCGAGGACTTCATGTTTGGTGATGAACGTGGTGGCGATCGCGGTGGTGACTGTGCGAAAGAGGTAGGGGGTGTCGAGGCGCCACTGGCCATCGACATTGCGCTCGGGGATGAGTATCCGCTCTTCGTGCCGTTAAACAGACTGCGAGCCTGCAGGTAGCTGGTATTCGCCTCGTTGATCCACGGCATATCGGCACGTTGCAGTTTCCTCTCCTTGAAGTAGCTTGGCCGCCCGTTCTCGTATATGAGCTCGAGCCGCTGGTCCTTCTCGAACTCGCCCTTGGGGGCGCTAACCCATTCCCCGTCGGCTAGCATGGCTACGCTACAGTGCCAGGGTGTAGTGTAGCCCGTTTTGGTGTTGAGGAGACTTATCGAGATCTTGTGGTCGCCTATTGATTCGTGTATCGACAACCTCAGGTGGTTTGGGAAGGCTGCTTTGACTGCTCCAGCGTAAGCCTGTACTTGATGTCAGTGTCCGATAGCTATGCCAGTAGGGAGAGGGCCTCGGAACTTACGTATCCTCTGAAAAGCATCTGCTTGGCTAGATACTTGACGTCCCTCTTGTATTGGTTGCTGCCGCGATTTTCTCCAAGCGCGAAAATGTGCTTCAAATCCGACTCGAGAAACTTGCGGTAGCCGAGATAAGTGAGTCTCGTATCCGCATTCTCCCTGATCTCTTTGTCGATATCGATATCCGGCCTTCCATGCTTGTTCAGAAGCAGTCGACGGAAGTTGGTGCAATTGGCAACGTAAGTGATCTCTCGCAGCTTGTCCGGGAGTGGAAGGTCTAGTATGTCCTTCAAGCGAGAGAAGGCAACGTGGGTGAACTTCTTCTCCGCTGCCATTTGCCGCAGAGCCTCGCCATAGATCCATGTCTCGCGGTCAGAGATTGATAACAAGTCTGGTTTGATGCATTAGTAGAGAAATTGCGTAATGATCATACATACACATACCGTTGTAGGTGATGCCATCGGATATGATGGTCACTCTTGCTCCAGGCTTGTAGACATCCTTGATCCTTGCGCACATGTGGTTCAGGCGTTGAAGCGCTAGCTCTTCAGCCTTGTCTGGAAGCGAACCAAGCACTTTGTAAACCTTGTTGGCCGACTTGAAAGGAAAGGCCGGCAAACATGCTTCAACGCGTTCACCTGCCAGAACGAATCGGTCGATTACGGCCAGGAAGTTCGCCGTTCCTGCCGCTAAGCGTTCTTTGGAATCGTCGAACTTGTTGAGAGCATGTTCGTAGATGATATCCAGGATCTTGGTCGATGTAAGTCTTACGTCCGAAGACGATCCAGCAACTGGCGGGTTTGTGGTTTGAAGCGAGATACCAAGGCCGTTGGGGCTGTTGCCAGTCAAGCCGTTGAGGCGTATGGTCATGTCCACCATAGTCAGTGAGACATCAAAACACTTGTGGTCTGTGAAGGTGAGTAAAGCCTGTCCTCAGGTTCTGAAGTCGCTCATATAAGGACCCTAGAATGAAATGGTCAGAGTTGTGTTGTGTATGCAGGTAAGATGCAGGATTGCCACACGAGCCTTCAGGCCAGACGAAGGCTGACGGAAGCCACGATGACAGTGTAGTGTCGGGAACGGCACGCAAATACAGTCCGAGCTCCGGCATTGCAGGGGCGGCTGAGGTAATATGAGGTTGTTCGAGGCGAGCGGACGTTCACCGGGTCGCTTGTTCCCAGGCAGCATACAGTCAGCGCATCGTGCGAGTCATGGCGATCATTCTCAGCGCTGGCATTATGAGATGCTCCTGCCATTGATGCAATTGGGCTTCACGAGACCAGGTGGAGGTGGAGGGTTTACGGTTAGTGTGCATGTTTGGTTCGGCCAAGCTGTGTCGCTGGAGTATAGTCATTCTGACTGAAGACGAGCCCGATCCGGCGATCGATAACCCGGATGGGGGCTAGGACGCGTGATGGTCGAGGATGCAGGTCGGTTGGTGTGTGAGGGCATGTTGGCGACAACTGCCGCGGTGAGGTTTGGAGAGGGGTGCCAAGCATCACGTGTTCTCTAGCGGCAGTCCGAGCGCGAAACCCTCTCATCTGTCGCGTCGTGCTTCATCGCCAAGCATCTCCTCTACTGCATCCACGCCGCCACCAGGCGGACGCAGGCTCAGTACAGCCTATACTCACGCTTTGATCACAACTAACAGTTGACGATGCGATATATGCTACCCAGCTACGAGCAGCATGTCGCCCAATCGTGTGTTGCCGTCTAGGAACACGCTGACACCAACATTACCAATGCTCTCAACATCATCTCAACGATGCTCCTCATCCGCCAATCTTAGTGCAAGGTTCCACGCAATTGCAAACATCACAATCGCCATCGCAAATTCTTGAATTCAGGCGGATTAGAGCGGCGTCAACGCCAACCATCCCTAGCTTACGCGATGTTGCGATATAGCTTTGTCCAGCCACCGCCTCCCGGTGGAGAAGTGGAAAGAGAACGGCTCAATACGAGCTACATCTGAAGGCTAAGAGAACCGAGTAAGCATCGCCGTATTGTGGGAGTCTCAAAGCTGACAGCAACAGCAGTCTTACGATCATCCCGACGCGAGACCAGGCTCTAGTTTGAGCCAGAAGCGCATTCTCTTCTTCGTAGTCTTCAGACCGTACCAACCCGTGCCCCCAACATGCCGCCCATGTCTCCGCCATGATCGCAAAGCTCCTGGCTATACATCGATACAAGTTGATAGCCTCTTCTCCGTCGTCTTTTCGCGATCCGGACTACTGTGGGCGGGGTCCATCTCTTGGCTGCGGAGTATATCTCCCTACGAGGTTAAGAAGGAGCTCAGTCGTGTGTCGGACTTCTACATGACATTTCTAGCGGCAAAAGATGCGTCGCTAGACTTGCTAATAAGAGCAGCTGATAGCCGAAACGTGCTCATGCGAAATTCGCTCATTCGAAAACGCGCTCACGGCAGAATGCGCTTGTTTGAGGAGGCGCTTATCTCGTGCAGCTAGGTGGCTGATCAGGCAGGGTGCCTCGTGGTAAGGACTAGAATCGGCTGCGCACTCGTGGGCGAGATGTGTTCAAGGCCTGGTGCGTGGGATGACGGCGTCGGAACCAAGCCCACAGCAGCGGGTAATATGCCCTCAGACCGCTTGCAGTGGAGCGGGCCGTTGGACAGGGTCCGTGCTCGCAGACGGCTTCACCAACCTCACCCTGGTTCGCGGGTCGTGTCTGCATCCCCGCTTACTGTCAGCATGGCGCCTCTACGCCCGCCGCAAACGTCCAGTACATGTACACATGCGAGGCCATGATGCGTCGCGGCTCGCTATCGCGTTCTCACCGGCCAACATGACACACGATTCAACACCATACCCATACCCGTATTCACAGGCTGCGCAGCTGGATCCGCGCATCACCGACCCAAGACCGCCCATCGATCCTGGTCTAGCACCTTTGATCGACTCTGCCCTTTTACCGGAAGAGTTGGATGTAGCCTTCCTCCGCGGCTTCGATGTTGGTGGCAGTCCCGAACCAATCCTCGCCGCGAACCCGCATCTGACGCATACGGAGCATGCCGTACCCGGCTCGTGCGGCCACAGCATCGCCTTGTCAGTCTTCGCCCCAAAGGCCTCGCCCAATGCCTTACCAGTCCTGTATTACATACACGGTGGCGGCATGATCTCAGGCGATCGCTTCAGCGCTGTTGCGCAACTAGTCGATCTCGTCCAAGACATCCCATGCGTCATCGCTTCGATCGAATACCGACTCGCACCCGAGACACCTGCACCAGGCGGCGCCGAAGACTGCTATGATGGGCTGGTCTGGCTCTCGACAAACGCCGCGCGCCTAGGCATCGATCCAGCCGCGATCGTGATCTGCGGGTCCTCGGGCGGTGCGCCCCTCGCTGCAGCAACCTGTCTCATGGCACGCGACAAAGCAACCCCAACCGTGCCGATCAAAGCGCAAATGCTATTGTCGCCCATGCTCGACGACCGCTGCGACAGCGTCTCAGACCACCAGTTCGAGTACGGTGTGCCCTGGAACGGCGCCACGAACCGCGCGGCCTGGAACCACGCCCTTGCCGGTCAGCGTGGTACCAACACAGTCACCGCATATCAGGCCCCATCCCGCGCTACCGACCTGTCCAACTTACCTCAGACTTACATCGATGCGGCTGAATGCGAGGTCTTCCGCGATCCTGCAGTCATGTATGCTATGAATATGTGGCGGTGTGGTTCCTCGTGTGAGCTGCATGTCTGGCCTGGAGGCACGCACTTGTTTGATGCTGTTGAGAATCCGAAGGTGCCGGTTGTGGGGGCTGCGATTGCGGCGAAGAGAGCTTGGCTAGGGAGGATAATGCTGCCATTGGGTGATGATGGGAGCACAGTATGATACGCTGCGCTTGCCGTCGTCGTGTTGGTGTTGGGGCTGAGAATCTTGATCTACGCTCCCGTGTCATTCGAGATGTCGTTCTTGACACGTACTTTCATGATGTTTATTGCTCGCGATCCGATTCGCGTCTCTCCATATGCTCAACGGCTAATTCATCATGGCCCTCATTGCTGGCACATTGACCGGACCATCAACATACTAACCCTACTCCTTTCGAAATTGTGTCCTTGATAGCATGGTCCTTGATAGCATGATCACTATCGCGAATACCCGTAATCTGCTGTCAGCTTATTCGCCAATGCCTTGACGTCTTTCTTGAGAAACGCAGCGACTTCGCACTTGTGGCTTATACAGTTTAGCCTCGGACATGTCATCATCCACCAACCTCAAAGCGCTACAGTGACCAGCGAAGGATCGATGGCTGTTAAGAAATTTGCTCATATAGCCAAGAACACAAAGACTAGACTCGAAGTATCCACGACGTCAGTGCAACAGCTGGTAGGCTTGGTATTGCTCGGCTATGCCGCGTTATTCGTTGTATCCGTTCCGACAGCCTAGACTACTTGCGTATACCACCCGAGTTATCAGATAGATATTACCTCATTCCAAAATGCATTGGAAGCTCTATCGTGAACTTCTCTACTCGTCGAACGCATCATATTCTCCACACGACCACAGCAACTATCTGCAAGATGACGCGTAACATACCAGACCAAAAGTCCAAAACGCACCAGCTTTCCATGCTGCGACCACTAGGTACGCAAACTCCAACCTGTCACCCATACCCTTCACACCAACTCACTACCCCACAGGCAAATCCGAACAACTCTCCGCAGTATCCCACGCCCTCGGCTTCTTCAAGAATGTCGGCATGTCCGCCCACTACACCCTATCCAGTTACTCCAGTAGTACCCAACCACCCGATCTACAAAGCGTGGTATATGCGGCATTGGCAGATGTTACGAGAAAGCATGCTATCCTATCCGCCATTCCCATAAACGAAGCGACGCCGGAGGCGTACTTTGCTAGATTGGAAGTAATCGATCTGGAGAAGTGCGTGGTCTGGAAGACGCGAACGGGGTGTACTATGCGAGGGGAACAGGAAGAAGATGGGGAGCTGGATGCGATGCTTGAGGGGCAGCATAATGTTGGCTTTGGATCCGGTTATGGTAATGTACCCTTCTGGCGCTTGATTATACTTCGAGATGCTGGGACTGAACTGAGTTTCACTGCATCGTTCATATTTCACCATAGTCTCGGCGACGGCGCGACAGGGTCAATTTTCCACACGGCATTCGTTCAAGGCCTGAACACCGCTATTACCCTCCCCTCTCTCGATACCCACAGTAACACACACATACCCGTCGACCCGAACATCCACCTTCTCTCACCCCTAGAGCACCTCCACCCCCTCCCAATAAACCCCCATCCCCGCTCCCACCGCGCAAACAGCGCCTCGGAGTCGAAAGAATGGTTCGGAACCCCCATTCACACGCCCCTGAAGACGCATTACAAAACACTCTTCTTCTCCCCCGCAACCACCGCAGCCTTCGCGAAGACATGCAAAGACAACGGCGTTTCGGTGACATCCGGTCTCACTGCCGTGTTAGCAGGCGCTCTCTTCTCTGCTTTGCCAGATACCGTGGAAGCGCTGACGGGTATTGTGCCGATTAATCTACGGCCGTGGCTGGATTTACCTGTGACGGAGGCGGATGGGGCGATGGGAAGTTTTATTGATGCGATGAAAGTACAGGTGAGACGTGAGCAGTGCGAAGAAGGCGGTGGTGATGGAAAAGGCATGATGAGCGGTATGCCCGCTGCACGTCATGTGGCGAATGAGATCAAAAGGTATCTCGCCAACGCCTCGCCAACCGGTGAGCCATACACGTCCATCGCGCCTTTCAAACTCATCCCTGATGTTGCCGCGGTGTTTACATCGCTGCTCGGCACGACCCGCGATGCTGCGTTTGAGATATCGAATTTGGGTCGCTTTCAAGATCGACCTGCTGAACAACTTCCGTGTGGCGGCGATGACGCCGCACATTGGCGCATTGGTAGGATGGTGTTTAGTCGCAGTGCTGTTGCGTTTGGCGCTGCGGTTACGACGAGTGTTGTTACCGGGGCGGATGGGGGGGTAAGTGTAGGGTTCTGTTGGCAGAATGGTGTTGTGGAGAGTAGTGTGGTTGAGCAGGGTATGAGGGGGTGTAGAGAGGGGGTTGAGGGCTGTGGGTTTTGATTAGAGAAGGATGGCGGTGGTGACTGGGGATGTGTGCGAATGGGTCGCTCGGTTATGAGGAGGGATAGGGTTGACGTGGGTTGGTGGTGCGCTTAAACTAGCTTGAAGTATCATGACTGTGTTGTGCTCAACACCTCCCGTGCGAAAGACAGCTATACTGCTCAACCGAGACCTCCATTATTTCAAGACGAATGTTTCCGCTTGGCTTTGGTGCGAGTCGATGTACGCATACGACGCAGTTATCGTATGTGGATCATCCCCAAATATGTGGCAGTCACCGCTGACAAGGAGCCAGCATTCATCTCGACGCTGTCTAAGAAGACAAGGTGCAATGGCACCTTCAAGTATGCAGACTACATCGCCATCTTGTGCGGCCCCGGGTACGATTGCAAGCCCACCGTCCTGCATCAAAGCAATGCTGCAAGCCTGGAGAGATTCATATAAGTCCGAACATTCCTCGTGAACATTGATCATCGGCTTATCTTTCTGGGGACCTGTTAAAGATCTGCTGTGGCGGGGAAGGAACTGACTTACGGAATGAGGATATAAACCATCACAGCGACGTAAATTATTATCGAGATACACGCCATCCATGAGAGACATTGCTATGATGAGTCAATGCTGAGTATTTATCATGCGTTCATAGATCTTACCATCGAGAATCTCCCCACTGAAGTGCTTAGGTGTTTCCGTATTATCGGATTTGCTTTCCTTGTTCAAGCATAACCTAAGATTGTTGATATGGTTGTACACTTGAAGCATTTGCCTCGCCACGTCGTCATCATCAACGAACTGTAAGACTTGACTACACTCGACAATCCGCGCATATTGACATCCAACAACGTGTAGTGCAGGGCTGATGTGAGATTCGTCGTACGAGTGCGACAGCAGGGCGCGCTTTTGATTCTCAATATTGATGGATGAGTATACACCTTCGTCCAGGTCCCCATCCCAGGCTTCGAAATAGAATGGGGTATATCGAAGAGGAAGAGTTTGGGACCAGTCGGGTATCCAAGAAGCCATTTCCAACTCATGTGGGTGACGAGTGGCGGCGAGTATGCGAAGACCCAAAACTGGTAGAAGAAATATCGCAGCTCGTTTGAAGCAAGTTTCAACACTTTGCGCATAGTCGATTAGGTGGTTCAATTGCTCTTGCCCGAGCTCGACTAGGGATGTCAAAGCAAACACCTTGTCCCTAGGGTCGGTGGCTAGACATGTTCTACTTCGGAAAAGTCGGTTCCACAAATTGAACTGCGATGTAGTGTACTCGTCCAAATCCTCGGTCATAAGTCTCAAGGGGAGGGGCCAAGCAGTACGTGTCACCCTAGTGCCAGAGTAGCCAAAGTACAGCATCTTTAGAGCATCAACGCCTATCGTGGTGGAGCCATACATTATTGTTACTAGGTTTTTGTCGTGGACTTCCTGGAGAACCCAGGTTCTTCTGAACCACGGGTCTTCGAACAACGTTTCCAGCTCCCTCACGATAGTTGCACCGGGGCGGTTCCTTACGGGCGGTTGCATACGTGCGCGATAGTAACGCTCAACCCCGGCTTCTGTTAGTTCATCCAGAATACTGTTCGCTTCTGCCAATTCGTCCAGTAAAAGGCGGCATTCCGGCACCACATCGTTGAGCATGACCATGACACCCGATGCGAAGTCGTAGACATCTTTCATCATGCGAACTTGATGCCCTCGCTCCGAAAGATCCTCCTGGTTGATACAGACGGCATCAATCCAAAGTTTGCGACTTTTCTCTGGAAGCCGCAAGCGTCGGAGTGCAGCATGACAGTTTTGCCCAACTGACAGCCTCTGTCTGGCAGCGTTGCAACGAATCACGTGTGTGAGGCCGCTGTTCCCCCAGGTGTAAGAAACTCCTTCGTAAAGAAGCGATTTGTCGGAAAGTTTCTCGTGGCATATCGTGCATTCGATTGGGTCCGACTCGTCTGGACTGGGATGCAGGATAAGGATGCGAAAAGAGTCGCTGTGTTGTAGCGATTGGTATTGGTAAGGCGACGTCTCCATGTCGAGGAGCGACGCGAAGAGGTTGCAAGAGATGAAAGGTGTGCTGCTTGAGGATGTTTAGGCAACAGCTCCTGCCGCGCACAGGGGCTGACCGCATCAAGCAGGTGGGGCAGGCATGCCGCTGGCCCTCAGCTCATTGTAGCTGTGGCTGGTCTCAGCATTCCAAAAAATCATAACACGCCAGAAGGGGAGATCGCCATGGTCAGGCACGACGTTGGTGTTGTTCTCGAGAATGCCATCGAGCTCGGTGGTCTTATTGCCCGTTGTTAGCGGAGTCCAGACTAGGGCTTGAAGGACGAGTGCATGGCTTTGACCTTCGCGCCACCTTCACCCTGAAGAATTATTGCGTCGGTTGAAACACTTAGCGTCGCAAAGGAGCGCATGGCATCTGTCTTCAACTTGGCGCAGTGGTGATGTGCCATGGTTCGCGCTGAGTGACAGCCGCAAGCCGCCAACCGCATGGCAGATCGCGCTTTGCTGATTGAGGTCTAGCGTCACAATCCCTGCTTCCGCGGCTCCTGCGTCATCGGCCATCACCAAATTTTGGGGCAGGCCCAACAGCGCGTGTGATCAACACTGACGAACATTACGAAATCCCCACGCAGCACTTCAGGCCTTACTCACTCGCATAGGAAACCCAATCTTTACTCGCATCTTTGTTTAAACCCAACCTTCACCCACTTGAAGAGCGTCCCAAAGCGAACATGGCGACGCACGAGCAGTACATACTGCACGTCACCGCTGGCGCAACATACGACACGTCAAAACACGAAGATGTCCTGGTCAACAGCGAAAAGCCCGTCGACATATCATCCGACTTGATCGACGCGCGCGTACACATGCGCATCAAAGACTACCGCGGTACGCCTTCCCACCTGGACCCCTCCATCACGCTGCCCCTCCAACGCTCCAGCCACTAACAAAGCCCAGGCCTACCAGAAGGCTCGCCAAAGACCTCACCCTACTTCTCCGCACCCCAACATTGCTACGATCGCTACTCGATATCCTTCTCTTTCACACCCAAACAAGACATAGCAGGCGACAAGCTCGTCTTCGGAAACGACTTCGACCACCCGATTCGCGACCGGTTGCCGCCGCTGTTCGACAAGGCGTTTGGGGTAGTCAAGTGGTGGATTGACCCGGGGCTAGACGGCGATGTATACGCGGACGAGCCATATCTCTACGGCGCGCTTCTTTCCTCGATAAACGTCCTGCGCATCGGCAGCAAGAAGGACGCGGACAAGCCGGCCAAGGGCGATCTAGAGGGTGAGGCACAAACAGAAGGAGACGTGGAAGTACCTGGCTCGGATGGCGAGGCCGTTGTATACGAAGAAGGCGCAGATGGCGACGGCGTGGACGTCAGGAAGAGCAAGCACGTACCCGACAGAGCCAGCGCAAGACAAAAGTTCTTCCTCACGGAGCAGAACAGGAAGGACTTTGTGTTTGAGGCTGGCAGGGAATACAAGTGCGATTTCTTCAATCCGTATCTCGATTTCAATGAGTTTGCGCTGAAGATTGGGTATGGATTACCCACGATAAGCATGATTGGGCATTGGGACGGCCAGCCATTGCGGTACGTACACATTCCTTTAACCTCCTATCTCCCCCATTATTGCTATCATCTCTACAACTACCACCACTACCACCACCACTACTACTTCACAAATTTCTTTGGACCTCGGGATACGGAGCTGACTTGAAGGCATTCACTAATCAGACCGCACACCCTTAGATATGTGCTCAAGAACCGGGAAACCAACCAGGAGCTCTTTGTCGTGGTTATAGAACTACTGCCGACTGAGCAAGCTAAGAAAGAGGGTGCTGAGGATCCGAAGGAGAAGTTTGAGGAGGTTCATGGTGGGGGGAAGAAGGAGGATAGGAATAGTGACTTGGATTAGGGGATCGGGTCTTGGTATACGCAGTTTGTTTGGTGATGGTGATGGGGGATTGCGTTGGAGATGAAATGACACGGGGAGGGCATCAGCATGGCGTTTGGGGGGGTATGGGTAATGTGGGATGGAATGGAATGGAATGGGCTGGGGCTATTGTTAGGGATGATATGGAATTGCGCTCGGTATGAGCAGCAAATGTAGCAGTCAATGTAACTTTGACGATAATTCCCACGAATGGCAATCTTCGTTCTCCCCCGCGGGGACACAACGTGGGCGCCCGTAAAAAGAAGCTCGGACCTCCGAACTTCGGCGGCAGCTGCAGCAACACCAAAAATTCCATCGCGAAGCTGCCGTCTCTGCATCACATCCCCAACATGGCCGCACGCACTTTGAGGATAGGTAAGGCAGTCAATTGCATCCATACACACCAAATACATCTCAAGCCACAATCACCGACTAACACACACCCCAGGCCTCATCCCCGGCGACGGCATCGGCCGCGAAGTCATCCCCGCGGGCCGCCGCATCCTCGAAGCCCTGCCCTCGTCCTTCAACCTAAAATTCTCCTTCACGCACCACGAAGCCGGCTGGGAAACCTTCCAAAAGACCGGCGCCGCCCTCCCCGACGACACAGTCTCAGCCCTAAAGTCCGACTGCGACGGCGCCCTCTTCGGCGCCGTCAGCTCGCCCACCGTGCAAACAAAGGGCTATTCCAGTCCGATTGTGGCGTTGAGGAAGAAGATGAAGCTTTATGCTAATGTAAGGCCGGTTAAGAGTGTTAGGGGAGGGTTGAAGGAGGTGGATATGGTTATTGTGAGGGAGAATACGGAGGATCTTTATGTTAAGGAGGAGAAGACGTATGCGGCGCCTGATGGGAGTAAGATTGCTGAAGCGATCAAACGTATCTCCGAAACCGCGAGCTTCAACATTGCGGAAATGGCAGGCGACATCGCACTCCGCCGGCAACGCGTCCGCGACGCAGGTGCAAAGTCTATTCACCAGTCTCCGCTGGTTACGATAACGCATAAAAGCAACGTGCTGAGCCAAACCGATGGTCTCTTCCGCGAAACCGCGCGCCGGGCGCTTCAGAACAGGAAATACGGTGGTGTGAACGTGGAGGAACAAATCGTCGACTCAATGGTCTACAAACTCTTCCGCCAACCCCAGGACTACGACGTCATCGTCGCGCCCAACCTTTACGGCGACATCTTATCCGACGGCGCCGCCGCACTCGTCGGCTCCCTCGGTCTCGTTCCCTCCGCGAACGTAGGCAAGGACTTTGTAATCGGCGAGCCGTGTCATGGGTCTGCGCCTGATATTGAGGGCCAGGGTATTGCGAACCCCATTGCGACCATTAGGAGCACGGCGTTGATGTTGGAGTTTATTGGCGAGGAGGAGGCGGCGGCAAGCATTTACAAGGCCGTAGATGCTAACCTCGAGGAGGCGAGGCTGCTCAGCCCTGACATGGGCGGTAAGGCGAAGACGGAGGAGATCATCGAGGATATCTGCAAGAGGTTGTAAAAGGGTTGGTTGTAGTGTCTGTCGAAAGACGCTTTATGCACGTGCTGCGATGCAAGTATTCCTGTCTGATCCGACTGTTGAAGCAGTGTAAGATGTGTTACGTGGATTTTATGGAGAGATGATGTATAGTTTAAGGACGATATCCCGTACGTTCTACCAAGTCCATCATCCTAGCGCCAGAGCCTGTCTGCGTATTTTACAGCCTCGTAAAAGCATCAACATCCACCCTCTGATAAAAGCTCACATGCCCAAACGTCTCCCAATACTGCGCTAGCCGATCATGGCTGATGAGGATAAGTTGGCTTGTCATGTAGTTATCTGCTCTCAACGTCAGCATCCATCTTTTCACACACATTCCCCCACCCTCCACAGCATCAAATGAGAAGATGAACATACCATCTCTAAACCCCGTCGCAGCAATATGCCCCACACTCCTCACAATCCTTGCTCCCTTGAACATCTCCTCCTTCGCAACGCGAATAAGACCATGGGGGCCAATATCCGGTGCTATGAAGGTGTATTCGCCGCGGGGAATGTTGGGGTCGCCGGTGAGTTTGACGGCTTCGATGCGGCCCGTGTATACACTCTCATCTTCGTCCTCCCTACTCTTACTCTTACTGTTGTCTGACGGTTTCGTTGAACCGGAGATGTAGTTGTGGTACTGCTCTTGTAAAGTGGCGACGCTATCCTCCAAATCATCCGCGTTCTCCATCGCCGCGCTCTCCATTTCAACACCCCCATCCCCATCCTCCTCATCAGAAGCCCAAGCAGAAGAACCCGCCGCATCCGTCGGCGCCGTCGTCCAACTCCCCCCACTACTCACACTCTCCTCCCGCTCCCTCGCCCGCATAGCCCACAGCGCACGTTCAGGAAGCGGCTTCGCATCCCGCTCATCCGGCTGCATGATAGCCAGGAACTCGCAGCCGTGGCCCGCGTAGTCGCCGCACCAAATCCCTTGCCATGGTTTCTGGGGCGTGGGCGTGTAGCTCGATTCGGGTAGCGTCGCCCACGTGGTTACGTCCTCGCCGATACGCATGCCCATTCCCAGGACGCGGGTTGAGAACTCCATCCAGCGCCGGATCCGGAATGTGGACTCAGAGAGCTGGGAGAGCGTCGCGGGTTTCTGGCCTGGTTGCCGGTAGCCAGAGGGGGAGTGGTCGTTGCGCGTGCGGTCTGCGCTGGGGAGGGTGAGGGGAGGCCAGACGGGCGTGGCGTCTGTTGTTATAGCTGTCGGCCAGGGGCGGGTGAGCATGAGTTGGGAGAAGAGGGATGCGGCTTGTTGTTGGCGGTCGCGGTAGAGGGACATGCGGATTTCTTTCTGGAGGCGGTATCCTATATTCCCGACGGCTTCTTCGTAGGCGTCGCGGTTCAGACGCACAATGGGCGCGTTGAGGTCGAGGCGCACGTTGGGGCTGAAGGTGTGGATTATAGCTTCGGGGTGCTGGTCCCAGGATAGAGCTACGGGCGATCGTCGTTCGGCTACGAGGGCATACGCTTCGATTGCGTTGAGCCTGTGGTCGTAGCGCGCGATGAGCAGTTTGCCTGTGTGGGCTGTGTCGGCGAACCAGATCTTGCGCCGCGCGATGAACCAGTATGGGTGGTGTTCTTGGTATAGTTCTCGCCATGTGAGGCGCGCTGGTTTCGTGACGTTGGGCACCTCTGCTTCTACGAAGGACTGCCATAGCGTGTCTTGGAATGTGTGGGTGCGCAGGACTTTGCTGACCATGCTCACGGTGAGGAGGTCTGATAAAGTGAGGTAGCTGAGCACATGGTGGAGTAGTTCAGAAGGGAGGTTCAGCAGCGGCGGGATGGGCGTTTGCGGTGCCGGGCTTTCTGTCTCGCGAATCCGTAGCTCCATGGTATCGGTTGATGTTGCCGAACTCTTTGAAGTTGTACGCAGCCTCTTATTAGGAATCGATCGACCGTTGAAGTACCTCAGCTGCGGTGGCGAAAAGCTTATGTAGCAACCACGTCCGTCCCTCTTACCTCTCTTATGCAACCCGCACCGAAAAGAGGAGTAGTTAGTGAATCGTCTGCCCCAGGACTTAATATAACGCCTCAATCGTCGGTCCTGCAGGGCGCTCTTCCCCCCGATGCTACCGTCTCGGCAACGTTCCGTGGTGACACCTTCCCACCTTCGCCTAGCCTTAACAAGTCCGGGGTAGATTGGCGTGATCAAGCAGCGAATACGAGCGCTATGCAAGATCAAAGAAGATCAAAGCACTACTCGCGTATCTTGGACGCGCTCAGTACCTGCTCTTTTAGGTGTTTGACGTGTTTTGATGTTGGCTTTGCGATGATGACGATGTTGCGATATCGGATGATGCGCTGCAAGGGTGAGGCGGCTCGGGAATGACTTCGGGTGCGACGGCAGAGGGTGAGGAGGAGGTTGATGTAGAGTTTTGCCGCTGACAGGGGAAAAGAAGGGGTTGTATGCGAGGGGATAAGTGCTTGTCGTCGCCACGCAGGCGTGATAGGTGCGTGTCGGTCACGATATCGCAGTACGTCACCGTCCGTCCGTGCGCTGCTGCATAGCTGGCTTTTGTGGGGTACGTCGAACTTGACTTCTGCCACCAAATTTTGAGGCAGACATTGCATTTTTAGGGTACGCACGTCGCGATATCTTGTAGCGAGGAGGTATCCAGTGATGATGGGGTAAGTATCTGCGATGACACAAAGTGACTTCACGACGACATATCACCGTGCGCCCGGAGATGCGAGGATACAAAATCACAGTTGAGGCATACATCATCATCGGGAAACATCATTCATTCAGGCAGGATTTCAAGCCAGGCGACGACATCAACCACTACATACACCACCAACCAAACCCCCCAAACCCCCCCTCCGCCTACAAGTCCTTGAACTTGCCCTTCCAGGCCGCCTTCACCGGCGACCTCTTCACCACCCCCACCGGCCCCTTCCCCATCTCCCCCTCCCTCCTCTTCTGCTCGAAAGCCGCCTGTCTCCTCCTCTCCCTCTCCTCCTTCTTCTCCGCCAACCCGCCCACAGTCTTCTTCATGGCCGAAGCCCGATCTGCTTTGCGCAGCAAAGTCTCTTCAGCCGCCTTGTTCTTGTTCAGCTCTTCCTCGAGGAACTGACGGCGGCGGCGGAGCTCCACGAGTTGCTCTTGGATGCCGGCGGCGGAGTCCTGGTGGGCGGCCTTGGTGGCGGCGGCGACGACGTTGGTCTTGGTGGTGGCGGCGGCGGCGCGACGGCTCCTGACCTCGTCGAGGAGGCGGGCGTCGGCGGCTTCCTTGGCTCCGGCTCCGTACATGCGGATGGGCGGCGTTGCGTACATCTTGGCGATTTGGCTTGGTCGCGGATGTAGTGTGGGTGTGTGGTGGTGGTGAAGTGGTAGTATGGTATGACTTGTTTTGAATTCTAGTCTTGAATGTAGGTATGATGGTGGTACGGTAGTGTTTGAAAAGAATTTGGATGTGTGAGATGGATAGAGAGAGCTGGAGAACAGAAGAGTTGGAGACGAAAGGACTTCTTATATACTACGGACTTCTTGGCTGGGACGACGTCTGTTCTGCTGGTATTACAATAGCAAGGGCTGCAAAAGTGAAGGTGAGCATGCAAATTTTCGCTGACGGCTGGATTCTATAGGGCACAATAGCAGTCGATACGTTGGAAAAGGTGAGGCTGGGCGAGGTGAAAGGGCCTGTGGACCAATGACACCTCTCTGAATCGACTTCGAAGTGAGCGCGACTTTGGCTGCCGACTTCCTACTGGCTGCGAACTTCAAAATGTCGACCGCTCTACCAGTCTGCGCCACCGCAGAACGTTTCAGATCATTGGTTGCTATTGTCTACTCAATAACGTCGTTCTGTCCGCTGACGTATGTGTGCTGCGAACCTTGGGAACAGCCAAGTCAAACATCACGTACCGGGACAATAACCCTGGTCGAGGATAAACGCGACCATGGCATTCGCCCACCGTTTTGATCTCCCATAGTAACGTGCGCCCGCAACCACCAAGCGAGACATACCTCCATTCGAACATGACAGCAACGTCATCACCTCGAGACATCCACACTCAACGCGCACCCGCCTTCTTCTCTTCCCGCCAGACCCTAGTCGCCTGCAACCACTCCTCCGGATCCCCCGGCATCCCCAAATCCCCATCAAACCCCTCCACCTGCATTCTCTCCAAAGTAAAATCCGTAGTAGGCCGTAGCATCCACTCAGGAAGCGGACCACTGGTCACAAAGTCCTCGACATCTTCTATGAACCACGCTTCGGGGTAGCTCAGGTGTTCTAGTGTGTCTTCTTCCGGCTCAGGCTCTGGCTGCTGTTCTGGCTGTGGGGGTGAGGGTTCCTCAGCGAAGGCTCGTCGTGTCATTGCGGCGAGATCCATTTTGCCGAAGTTGGGTGGTAGGTCGGGCATAATCCATTCGTTGCTGTCGGAAGTATCGTCGAACAAGTAGTCGTTTGGGTTGCCGAAGTCGATCGGGTGGTTGTGAGAGGCGGGGATGGGGGTGTCGGAGAAGAGATAGTCGAGTTCATGGCCTTGGTTGTCGTTTGAGACCGCGAGAGCCGCAATCTCGTCAGTAGTTTCAACTTGGCCTTGAGAAGCGTTCTTCGAATTGGCACGCGCAGTCTCCTCAGCTTTCTTGCGCGCGACTTCTTCAACCTCCATCCGTGCAGCTGCCTCGGCCTTTTTCTTTGCAGCTTCCTCAGCTTCCAACCGCAATGCCGTCGCCAGTCTTCCCACACAGCCACTCATATTGCTGTTCACATCATCCCTGGTGATCTTCAGTCCACCAAGCACAATAGGCTCATGGTCTTTGATCTGCTTCTGTAGCATGCGCATTGCTACCAGGCGGTAGTCGACAGCAGGCTCTGCCTTCGCAGGCGACGAAGCTGCAAGCGTGGAAGACTTGTCCGGCGAGAGTGTGTGAGTGGTGGAGGACATTTTTGGTGTGAGGGTGGAATCGGAAGTGCGCTTTAGCGCTGTGCTTGGGCTTGTAGCCGTCTGGGTCGACGCTGGATGTGTTTTTGCCGCATGGTTTGTGGGCGCGCCTGATGGCGGCAGCTGGACATCAGCTTGCTGTTGTTGTTGGCGGTCCGCTCGCCCTCGACCCATGGACTGAGGCGTGGTATAGCCATTGGTAGGATGGTTCGATCCTGCAGACGCGACTGGCGACACTGTCTGACGCGGCGGTGTTGCATATTGCGCCAAATGGTGAGCGAATGAGGGGGCTGTTGCAGATGCGATCGCAGTATGCTCCTGCGACCTGCGCTGAGGAGAGAAGCTGGCAAGTTCCTGCTGTCGATGTGATCCATTTGGGGGCAATCCATTGTAGCCAAATGCAGGTTCGCCGGCTTGACGCTTTGCTGATGAAGTCGGACTCCTGGATATGGCCGAGGTGGCGAAAGCTCGCGTCGGCGAATTGGTGAAGGTAGGTTGCGCTTGAGATTGCGGTTGAGACACAGGATGGGCCGGTGACCTCGCTATGCTGCCCGTGTTGGCTGGATGTTGAAATGGCCGCTGCGGTGGAGACTGATGCTGGAACTGCCGCGATGCTGCGTGTGTGGGGGTAGCCTGTCTAGACGAAGACATCTGCTGAGCCGGTGGTGCGGATGGAACGAATGGTTGTTGTCCATGTTCCTGCGGGACTGCTTGACGTGCGGCCTGAATCGGAGTCTGATGAGAAGGCGCCGCTGCAGGACGACGCGCTGGCGACGCTGCAGGACGAGGCACTGGCGACGCTGCAGGAACAGGAACTGGCGTCCCAGTCGTCCTCGGAGCTGGCGACACAGCCATCCCCCCTCCCCCCTTCCTCCCCAGCCCACCCCCCAACAGCCCCAACACCCCATCCCACTTCTCCACCTCCTCCCCATACCCCCCCTTACTCTTCTTATTCCAATCCCCCCACGTCTTATGCGCAACATGCAGTTCACCCTTAAGCACCATCTCCTCAACCTTGTTCTTCCACGCCCGGATCTGCTTGCCAATAGCATGTTTCTTGTTCTTCTCGGTGAGACCCTCGCGGCAACACTTGTGGTGGCTCCCCTCGGGGTGTAGGCACTTGTACAAGCCATCTGGCCGTTTACTACAACTGGCGAGCGAGTCTTCGGTGGGATATTCGGGGACGGGGGCTTTGTCGAGGGGATGTACGCGTCGGTCTGGTTTTGTGGAGCCCCATTGTTGGCGGGTGGCGAGGATCTCGGCTGGCGAATCCATTCCGGGGGTTTGTGTGATGGGCAAGGGAGGAGGCGGCGATGTTGTTGCGGGCGACTTGCGTCTTACGTCGCGACAGCCATTCGTTTCCCAGGCGTGAAGCTTCTCGTACCAACGTGCTTTGGGGTGGGTTTGCTGCGCTTTGCACCAGGCTTCGATGGCGGGCTTGTTGTCGTTGTAGCGCTGCTCTTGCGATGTGGTGATGGAGTCGTTGCGGGCGCGTTTTGCTTGCGCTTCTTGCGATTCATCTTCTGGTCTTGGGCGCTTTTGTGCTGGGTGAAGCATGGGTGCTTGGGCAGAGCTGGGCGTATACGGGTTCGTTCCAGTTGGTGTGCTCGTCGAGAACGTGATGTGAGGCGACGACGTCGCGCTACTTGTCGGCGTTCTCGCGATCGGTGGAGGCATCGTGTACGCCTGGGCTCCTCGTGGGGTTGCGATTTACGTTCGGTGGCTGTGGCGTCGACGTCAAGGTGGGTGGTGTTGCGCGCCTCTCAAAGCTTATCGCGAGTTGTCCGGGGCGAGGTGAGTGATAGTGGGTACGCTGTGGAAGTACTATTCTTACGCGCTAGCGATCAATTACTGGGTGAAAGGCCATGTTTAACTGCTCTCTACGTTCACTGATAATGTAGTGTTGCCCGTGATTGAACTGTGGTTGAGGATGCGAGCTACCTTGGTCCAACGAACTTCAACTGTGGGAGACGCAGTTACGCTAGGGGGCTACAAAGATATCAAGATGTGTACGTAGAAGGACTTGAGGTGTACATGCATCCAGTCATGCATAGATGCAAGAGACGCGATCACATTGTAACCAGCTGAGCTAAACATGCAAAAGTAATCTTCGTATCATTCACTACAGATAGTTGTAACACCCGAAGAAACTACGTAACATACAAGACAGCCCTTTCATAGCTGCAATGTCTGCTAGGAGGGTTCTTTGAATGTTACAACCACCTGTCGAAATGTCATTCGTCGAAGTATGAATAGACTTGAGAGAACAAAGATGTATTCAAAGTGACAACAACCCCCTCCTCCAATATCTCACCCCAACACCACCCCCCTCCGCTCCCATCCCCCTAAGCCAACCCCGTACCAACACTCCAAGTCGCATCCGCATTAAAGCTCGCCGCAGCATCAAAGTCATGAACTCCCCCATTACTAGCAATATCCCCAACATTGTTGTAATGACGAATATACCTCGTCGGATACCCCCACGCCCTTATCGAACTACCCGAGCCCGTAAACCCTGACTGAGGACAAAACGTCGCATCCTCCTTGAACGCCTTTGACCCATCATTCGCCTGCAGCTGCAACACAAAGTTGAAATGACGAATAAAACTCCCAGCCGTATCCTTCGACTCAAACGAGAAACAAGCACTATTCGCCAGACCAGCGCGTACAGTCCAGCTAGCCTGTCGCTTGAGCAACGCGGTGCTGGAGGAAGAAACGACTTGCGTGTTAACGGTGGCGCCGGTGTGTGCGAGGTAGCGATCCGTGTATCCAGCGGTTGTGGCGCGGAACGAGATTGATGATCCGACTGTGTAGGCGGGTCCGCTGGTCAGGCTTGTAGTTGCGTATTTCGCGGCGACGATGTTGGCTTGTACTGCGTTTTCGGTTGCGTCGGTGGGGTAGCCGGATGTCATGACGCCCTCGTAAAAGGTTCCTTGCGCTCCGTTGCTGTTGTCGCCGCCGATACCGAGGATTATGGCGCCTTCTTTGCTCATGGGGTTGTAGCCTGAGGCGCTGGGTCGCGCGCCGTTGTAGTATGTTGATAGGGAGCCGGATGCAGCGTTGCCGCCGCGGAGAGCCCACTTGTTTGGGCCGCCCTTCAAGACGGTGGTGAGGAAGCGGTCTGTGAGAGTGGGATCCGCGGGGTTGTTCTTCGGGGACATGCCGGAGAAGAGACCGTTTTCCAGGTCGGCCATTAGCCACGGGCCGGAGCCGGCGCCTGTGCCCCAGATAGTGTTGGATCCGAAGTAGATAGCTTCCATGTGGCCGTTTCCTGTGGGGAGTTGTTAGTGAGATGATTGAGAGGAGAGTGTGGGAGTCTGCGTACCGGTGTCGAGATTGTTGGTCTCAGCGTTACCGTAATCGAAGCAGCATGCGTCGTTGAAATGCGTTCCATCGAGGACAGCGTACATGCCCTCTGCTGCGTCGCCAGTTGCTGAACCGCTTACTTTGTTGTTGCGGTACCCAGTGCCTGGAGAGACAAAGACACCATATGCCTTCTTTCCATTCAGTGTGACTGGTGCGCCGATAGCACCGGCCAGGTTGTCATAGCCATTAGCTTCCGGGCCATTGAAGCCGCCTGGAGGAGCTTGAGTGAGGTGGTTACCACGACCAGATTGATCGTAGATAATGGTAATGAGACATGTGGTGTTGGCGCAAAATTTGTCTTGAGTCGCAGCATTGGCTACACCACCAGCGGAGAGAGGTGCAACGTTGGTGGTAGCGCCATCGGATCCGCGCTTGACCTGGTAGAGAGAACCGCTGAAGGAGTTGTAAAGCGCGCGAGTAGTGCTGTGAGCGGCGATGCAAGGCGTGTTACCGGAAGCGTAGATGTCGCAAGGTCCAGCGGCCACAAAAGAACCCGTAGCGACAAGGCCAAGCGCGGCGATCTTGGATGGGGAAGGCATGACTGGCTGTTACTATTATTACCGCGAGAGAAGAACAGGGTGATCGTCTGAATCACCAGAGAGCTGATACATCGCCCGCATTTAAACAAATGTCTCTGCAGCCTCGTTCTTACTGTGTCAATATACATAGTTCATGTCTGCGTCCGTGGACTAGATGAGAAAGGCAGTTGGAAATGCACGGAGTGCAATTTCTCCTCCAACAGCGACAAGGCCTGCACTTTTATCAGCCTAAGGACGTCACGAGGTTGCAACTCCAGGTTCTCTGGCGCCTGCACTCCCCGTATTTTGGCTGTGTGGATTGCGGGGGAGACCAGGGTATGAGGCTGTAGCTCCGGAAGATATAAGCTTTGCCGAGGATCACCCACCTGACGAGGCGCTTACCACACACAAACCATGCACACTCCCTCGACACATCGCGATTCATCCTCTCTGCTCTCTATTTTCGACATCACGGAATCCACCATCCTCCCCTCCACCACCCCTCCACCACCCACCCTTGGACAAGGTCTAAGGTTGTAGTGCCGGAAGAAATAAGCTTTGCCGAGGAACATCAGTCGGATGACAAGACCTGTACTAGCGTTTCCAAGAGCCGTCGGAGGCAACGCCGTTACGCCGCATACACGTGAGAACGTATCCGTAACTTTCCATTCCAGGCAGTGTGAACATTTTACAGTTCCTGATGCTCCACCGTCACGAAGTGCGAAAGTTCGTCTCGGCATCCACCTCCGATGGCGTTCTAGATCCGATCGTCCGTTTGTGACAGTGCCGACAGACATGCGTGTGACGTATAAACCTTGAATCGTTGTTTTGAAACGCGAAGTGAGCCAACTCATGCAGTTTGAAGCTCGCTGGTGTCAATAGTATCGCGGGCGAAGGTTTGCAGGGCTAGATTCACCGCTTACGGCGTGCTTATGGTCGGCGCTTTCGCAGTTGGGGTGGTTGGAGTTCCTTCAATAGTCTGGCCGATGTTCGCCGGGTGAGCTCAAGGGCTGCGATCCAAGGGTACCGTGGACAGGATGAAGATGGCGCAGAACGCCTTCTCTCACGTATCGAGGGTGCGAAAGTGTTGAGCTGGATCGTCGAAATTCCTGTGCGCGAGGCTAAGAGCTGTCATACTGCTGACATGTTAGCCTTCCGTCATTGACGTCCAATGCGGGCCGCTCACTACACGGATGCACGAGTTGAGCGTGTGGACGTAGTGGCGCATCGCACTGAGATTATTGATGTATTCGGCGTCCTGGCCGTCTGTATTCTGAGAATGTCTATTTTTGTACCCTTGATAGAGTCGTCGAACGTGGTATCATGTGCTAAAGCGATGCAGAAAAGTCCACCAAGATGTAAGCGCCCCCAATATGCCAGTCGTGACTTTATGTTTCCCGCTTGCGCGTACATGATGCGCGACGTGAGATCTTTGATGTCGGTTCGAGGACGCTGTCGCTATCCATATTGATCGCGCAAGTCGGGTCGTGGCGTCACCGGTCGTGTCCGCTGGATCGCGGTGCCAACGGTGGTAATGGCATGTGGTTCTCGTGGAGGTCACCGTGTGTCTCGTACCGCGCCGGACGTTGCTTCATCCGCTCGACTTGCATTTCCACCTCGCTGGTCAAAGTGATCGTCATGTCGGTGTCCGTAGTCATATTTCCATTGTTGCTTTTCGGGCGGACCTTGCCCCACAGGCGCGACATCCCCGTTTTGGGAGCTTCCTCCTCTTCTAAAATAGCTTCCTGGCTCCCTCGTTCCAGATCCTGTTCTGTGTCCGCCCAATGCTTCATCTCGTAGCTGTTGCCCTTGTCGTTGGCGAGTTCTGGCGCATTGCGCGGTGCTGTGGATTTTCGGTTCGTGGAGGAATGCGACGCTGATGCATTGGCCGTTAGCGTCTTTGATGAGTTCGCGCTCTTCTTGAAGGATATGCCACCTGAGAAGGATTGCGATAGACTGAAGGGGATCTTCGCGAGGAGAGGTTTTAGTACTGGGGCCGAGGCGCATATCTGTAGCCAGTAAGCATCGTGTGACTGATTAGCAGTCGTACGTAATGACTTACTACACCCAAGTCTATCTCTACAGCGGCCGCAATCCAAAGTGGATATGCGTACCAGGTTTGATCGTACTCGTTGTTGAAGAGACTCCGATAGATGAACCAGGTACGCACAACACCAGCAGCAGAGACAATTAGCCCCATACCGAATAGCGCGGCGACAGCCATGCGCTCACGCAGACGCATGTGAAGCTGGGATCAGTTAGTAATGTTTTGCCTTGCGTATGGGATTGAGCCAACTCACGCCCATGACCAAAGGTATTGGTGTTAGTGTAGTAAGAAAATCCGCGACACAGTTGATGATTCCGCAAATGAGAGTCGCAGTTCCCTCGTCCATGCAAGTATCTGCCGGTGCGCCGATAGTCCAATAGTTCTTGATGGGTGTGCAGAAGAAGACGGCGATGAAAGGAAACGATATCAAGATGCCGAGTGTGTAGGCAACGTTGACATGAACCGCCCACTTGAACCATCTAGGCCAGTTAGCAAAGCTATCAGAATGCGACAACAATGCCGGAAGTACTCACGTCTTCCCCGAGTCTGTGACCAAGCGGTAGTAGAAGCAATGCAAAGAGAGTCTCGTGAAGCTCGCGGCCGCTGTGAAGACGACCTTGGCGGTCATGGCGATTTTGTAGGCCGGAACGAACATGTGAAAGGGTATATCCCAAACATGTCTATAGTGGTTTGATGATCAGCTGTATGCGATGCGAATGGACATCGGGTTATTTACCTATCCCATC